ATTCCCTTTCAGTGCAGAGCCAGCGCCCACACTCAGGCAGCCTTGCTCACAGGGCTAATACTCTTCACTTGAGCTATCTCCCCAGCCCTGAGAAAGTCCTATCTTGCAGTCCAGGTTGGCTTTTGTCTCATGATCCTCCAAGCCCCAGACTTCCAGACGTTAGGATGACAGGCTTCCTCACTGTACTTAAATCACGAAAAGACCTTGGCGTCAAATCACGGTGCCCATCATCCTCCACTCATTCTTCATCTTCTGGGATTTCTTTCCTTTTCAATTTTTAGTTATGGGCTGGAAAGATGGTTCAGTGGCTAACAATACTGGTTATTTTTCCAGAGGACATGGGTTCAATTCCCAGAACCTCTGCGGCAGCTCAAAAAATCATGTTATTCCAGATAAAGAAAATATGACTCCCTCTTCTGCCCTCTGTGGGTACTGCATGCACATAGTGCACACATAGAATACTCATACACATAAAATAATAATGATAGCAACACTAACAACAACAATAATAAAGCTTGGGTGCATGTTTTTAATCCCAGCACTTGGGAGGCAGAGGCAGATGGATCTCTGTGAGTTCAAGGATAGTCTGGTCTCCAGAGTCTTCTAGGCCAGTCAGGGCCACACTCAAAACAAAGTAGACTCACTTCATGTGTAACCTTACTTCACACCCCCTGGCCTACAAAATACCATGAGGTCCACTGAAAGCTCTCAATGTTGGTTGCAGGGCTGAAATATGTCTCAGTCCACATGATGGCTGGATCTTAAATATTTCCCAAAAGTCAAGTGCTATTGTCAAACAAAGCAGAACATTTAGGGCAGAGAGATGCCTCAATGGGTAAAGATGCTTGCTACCTGAGTTCGATCCCTGGACACATGTGATGGTAGAGAACTGAGTTGTTTTGTTTTGTTTTGTTTTGTTTCCCCTGTCTGTCCTGGAAGCCCCTCTGTAGACCAGGCTGGCCTCAAACTCAGAGAGGTCTGCCTGCCTCTGCCTCCCGAGTGCTGGGATCAAAGGTGTGGACTACCACCATCAGGTCTGAGAACTGACTTGAAAGCTGATCACACACACACACACACACACACACACACACACGAGCCTCCCAGACAAATGATAAACACAACAAAACAAGACAGCACCAGAGACTCTTTCCTCTCCCACAATAACTTCCCATTTTCTCATCTGGATAACTTTTCAGGCTTTTGTTTGTTTGTTCATTTGTTTGCTTTGTGTGTGGAGGGAATTGAGGTGGTTTTGCGGGCAGGATCTAATGTAGCCCAGACTGGCCTCTTTCTCCCTGTGTAACTGATGTTGGTCTTGAACTCCTGACCCCTCCACAGTCACTACCTCGAGAGTGTTGAGAGCATGAGGTCACCGGCCTGTGCCACGCACCTGACCTAGTGACACTGTGACAGGTGCGAAGTGGAGTTGATATTTTATCTCAGAATTTTAACAACTTAATTACCCAGGTAACGGGTCACGGGGCTATAGCAATAGTTTATTTTTATGCTGAGGAAAGGTCCAAAGCAATAACCAACCGCCAGCACAACACAGCTGACTGGCAGGTACACTAGACCCTGCAATTTCCACCCACTCACATTCTTTGTGATTCTTAATGGTAATTGCGTGTTCGTTAACACATGGGGATTAGTGCCAGGGGAAAAGACTCCTGGGTTTAAATTTGGAATTCGACAAATCCAGTCTGGTCTGGTGAACAATTAGCTGACGTGCTGGGCGTGGTGGTGAATGTCTATGAGCCCAGCACTCGGAGATGGAGGCAGGAGGATCAGGAGTTCCCTGGCTGACATGAGACTAAGTCTCACAACAAAACCTGGAGCGATGTCGCAGCAGTTAAGAGCTTTGGCTGCTCTCCCAGAGGACCCGGTCTGTTCCTAGCACCCACAGGGTAGCCCACCAGGCACACATGTGCATAGACGTACATGCAGGAAAACCACACATAAGCACACACACACAAAATAATGACAAATCACTGTGGGATGTTTAAACACTGCATTCAAATGTATTGCTTTGATTGTTTCAACAAATGGCCAACAGCTAGGCAGTAGGTATAGGCAGGGCTCCCAGGGAGAGAGAGAAAAAAGGAGAGAGAGCTCTGGGAAGAAGATTGGGTCATCAGTCAGATTGGCAGCAAACAGCATGAGCTGTATGGAGAGATGAGGCAACAAGCATTCAACAGAATGTAGATTAAAAGAAATGGGTTATTTTAAGTCATAAGAGCTAATGGGACAAGCCTAAGCTGAGGCTGAGCCCTCGTCTTTGTCCTTATTTGGGAGCTGGTGATACAGAGAAAGACTTGCCACAACAAATAACTGTTTCTTGTTAAACCGACATGAAATACCAGGAGCTAAAGAGATGCTCCCTTAGTTATGAGCACTGGCTGCTCTTCTAAAGGATCTGAGTTTGGTCCACAGCACCCACATTGGTGTAGCCCACGTCACCATTAATTCCAGCTTCAGGGGCTCCTAAGTCTTCTTCGGCATCCCTGGAAACTGTGCACATCACACACACACACACACACACACACACACACACACACACACACACAAACACATAACTATAAAGAAGAGATAGATAAGAGAGACGGGCATGGTGGTGGCGCACGCCTTTAATCCTAGCACTCGGGAGGCAGAGACAGGCGGATCTCTGTGAGTTTGAGGCCAGCCTGGTCTACAGAGCGAATGCCAGGGCAGCCAGGGCTACACAGAGAAACCCTGTGTGAGAAAGAAATTTTTAAAAAAGAAATACCAAATACAGTTCATGTTAGACTGTACATATGAATTTGAAGGGAAGGATCCCTGGGTCTGGTAAGACAGCATTTCCTTGTGAAGAAGGGAGGGAGGAGGGAGAGTTTTTGTTTTGTTTTGTTTTGTTTTTGGGGGTTTTTTTGTTTGTTTGTTTTGTTTTGTTTTTGGATGACATAGGATGGAAAAGGCCTTTCTGTTGTCAAACGCTGACTCAGCTTCCACCTTGTAGGACACAGACACTTTATCGCCCCCTGCTGGAACATGTTAGCAATAAATGATAACCCAGGCTTCCCGATTAGATTAGCAAAGGAATGACAACTCCGTGCACGTACAGACACACACACACACACACACACACACACACTCCTCTTTTTATTTTATTTTACTTTTTCAGTGACAGGGTCTCATGTAGCCCAAATTGGCCAAGGACGTCCTTAAACGTGTAATTCTCTCTGCCCCTGAATTACAGGAGTGTACCCACCAGGCTTAGTTTCCTGCGCTCTGGTACACAAACCCAGGGCTTCATTTGTGCTGGACAGGCTCTCTAACTGGTAGATGTGGTAATTAGAGGAGAGTAGATTTTAGGATCATCGGAAGGAATGATTGGGGTCAGAGGGCGTCAAAAGATCATGCCGTGTGAGCCAGGGAGACCCAGACTCTGTGTTGTGTTCACTGTACCTGGAGAAGGCCCCTCCCACTCCCCGACCCCTCCCACTCCGAGTTATCTTGTTCTTCTACCACATAGATAAAGATCAACGGTCCTATATTCTGAAGCCCCTACCATCTTGGCAGACAGAGAACGAAAGTGAACAGACTCTCCAGGGACAGGCCAGGACCGAGAGAGTGCAGAGTGGTTTCCAGGGGAGGCTGTTTCTATTATCCCCAGATGGAGAAGACCACAGGAGAACAAAGAACCCCACTCAAGCTGGGCGGTGGTGGCACACTCCAAGGCAGAGGCAGGCGGATCTCTGCGAGTTCGAGGCCAGCCTGGTCTACAGAGTGAGTTCCAGGACAGGCTCCAAAGCTGCACAGAGAAACCCAGTCCAAAAACAAAAAACAAAACAAAACAAAACAAAAAACAAAAACAAAACAAAAAAAAACCAACCCAGAATCCCACTCAAGTCCAGCTTCAGTTTATTGAAGTGACAGGAGCGTGACTAAACGGTCACACTCAAGAACATGGCTGACAACTCACAAACGATGCATGCATGCGCTCCAGTCGACCTCTTAGCTCCTGCCTGCTCTAGCTGCCGGTGTAGACGGAGCAGGAGGGAGCAGGTCGCCGGCATCTCAGGCTGCTAATGAGCTCCTGTGCTGACAAGGGAATGGTAATAGCCCTGACTTATGAGGGTCTCCTCTAATTCCACGACACCGACAGCCACACCATACCCCACAGGCGGAGTTCCAAGTGGAAGTCACGTGCTGGGCCCTAGCGTGAGAGACAGATGGACTGTGACACGGGAGTGAGTTGCTTTTGGTTTTGGTGTTTTGTCACAGCAATAGAAAAGCAACAAAGACAACCTCTGCACAAATCCTAAACTGCACTTCTGAGCAGCTTGTCCCTTTTATGTATGAAGATAAGTACCCAGCTTCTACCGGTCAAGTACAAAATCGTCAAGACATGTATGGCTTATTAACATGTTACTTACATATAACTACCCTAGAAAAGCCATTCTTCCATCTGTCGGGTTTTTCGTTTGGTCATGAACACTGTTACAGTTGTTTGAGGCTTATTTAATTCTTGTCCATATTAATTAGCCTAATTATTTCTAATAAGTTCACTTCCTCCATTCTCCTTTATGTTTTCTCTTTCCTTTCGTTTATTCCTTCCTTTCTTTCCTTCTCTTTCCTGTACTCTTTCTCTCCGTCTTTATTTCTATCCCTCTCTTCTTTTCCTCCCGTTATCCCCTTCTCTGTCCCTCCCTCCCTTCCTCCCTGTCTCCCTCCCTCCCTTCCATCCTTCCCCCCCCTTGAATGACTTGGAACTCAATTGTGTAGACCAGGCTGGCCTCAAACTCAGGGAGATCCTTCTGCCCCTGCCTTCGGAACTCTGAAATCACCGACATTCTAGCATCTTTAGTTTTGTAAGGCAAAAACACACATCTTTGTCCTTTCCCAGCGAGGCCCTAGGAAAAAAACCAAAGGTAGATCATATAGTATGTATTATAACCAACTTCATTTTACTGAATTTGGGGAGGAAAGAGGCCTAGGGGATTGTGACGGGTTTGCCCTAACAGAGGATGCTTTGATGACCTAATAAATCAGAACGGCATTAAGGCGAGAGCCTCCAGGGACCCCAGGCCCCCTCCACTGGGCACTTAAGGCCGCCTGGAGTCCACGGGTCACCATGGGCGTCTCGCATTCTTCCAAGGAGGAGTGGGAACGCGAGAGCAGGAGCGACTTCTGGTGGACACAGATCCAGGAGGGGTTCCGAAACCAGAATGACTTCAACTGGGACCAGATCAAGCAGCTGCACCAGAGGTTCCGGCTGCTGAGCGGAGACCAGCCTACTATCCGGCCCGAGAACTTCGACGATGTCCTGGACCTGGAGTTCAACCCGATCCGCTCCAGGATCATCCGAGCCTTCTTCGACAACCGGAACCTGGGCAAGGGGACCAGCGGCCTGGCGGAAGAGATTAACTTCGAGGACTTCCTGACCATCATCTCCTACTTCAGGCCGCTTCGCTCGCACTTCAACAAGGAGGAGGCGGAGCTGTACCGCCAGGAGAAGCTGCGGTTCCTCTTCCGCCTGTACGACGAGGACGGCGACGGGCTCATCACGCTGCAGGAGTACCGCAGGGTGGTAGAGGACCTGCTGTCAGCCAACCCGCAGGTGGAGCGCTCGTGGGTGCGCTCCATCGCCAACTCCATCGCCTGCCGCGCCTTGAAGGAGGCGGCCAGGGTGTCCGAGAAGCCGCCAGAGGAGGAGGACCAGCCGTACCAGGGCATCACCTTCGAGGACTTCGTCAGGACCTGGCAGGGCATCAACTTGGAGGTCAAGATGCAAGTCAGCTTCCTGAACCTAGAAGCCATGGCCTTGTGCCAATGACCCGCCGGGCGTCCCGACCCCCACCCCTACCCCCCCAGAGCCCGGCAAGCAGCAGCTACCGGGTACGTGGGACTTGGTGGCTCTTATCTTTGAGAATAAAGATGGTGAAAAGGAGAACAGGGCATGGTGGTGCACGCCTTTAATCCCAGCACTCGGGAGGCAGAGGCAGGCGGATCTCTGTGAGTTCGAGGCCGGCCTGGTCTACAGAGTGAGTTCTAGGACAGAACCCTGTCTTGAAAAACAAAACAAAAAGAACAAACAAAAAACAGAAAGACTAGCTCTTTACAGAAAAAAAGTTTGTTAAACCCAGCTGTATCACTTACTCTTCTCGTTGCTTGAACAAAACACTTAACGTCGGCGCCTTTAGGAAGGAGTAGGGTTGTTGAGGGCACAGCCGTCAGTGGTAAAGCCGGCCGTTACTTTTGAGTGTTAATCTGCTTTTTCTTAGCCGTATTGCTGTAGCAAGCGTGAGTGTCTCATGGCCTAGAATGGCCTTGATAGCTGAGGGTTATCTTGAATTTCCATCCCCACTTTTGAGTGCTAGAATTACAGGCATGTGTCCCTACACCCAGTTCCGTGCAGCACTGGAGTCGAACCCGTGGCTTTGTGTATGCTAAACAGACAAGCACTCCACCAACCTCGCTATCGTCCCCACGCCACATTTGAAGTTCTTTGTTTACAGATTTATTGCATATTTTGAGAACTTCGCACGTGGACGTCTTTCACACCCCTCCCTTTCCCAGTCCAGTTCCTCCCAAGCCCCTCCACCACCACTCTCAAACGTATATACGTACATCTGAGCCCATTCAGTGTGATCCTATGTATGCGAGCCTAAGGCTGGCCACTTAGGATTGGGTAGCCCGTGGCGGGGGGGGGGGGGGGGTGGCTCAACCCTGGAGAAAACTCATTCCCTCTGTCAGCTGCTACTGATCATCTACAGCTCTTCATGGGGGAGGCTTGTGCGGTCTCCCCCACCCACATTAGGCTATCGGGTGGTCTCGTCACTATGCACATCTGGCTCAGGCAATAAAGCTGTTGCAGTTTCATGGGTGAAGCTTTCCATATCTCAAGGACACTTGAAGCAGGCGTCCTTGTCTTCTGGCTCTTACCCTCTTTCCACCCTCTCTCCCGCCATGGTCCCGAGCCTCAGGGTTAGGGGTTGTGTTGCAGTTTTATCCCGTGCAGATGGACACCGTGATCACTTACTCTCTGCATTTGGGTGAGTTGTGGATCTCTGGGATAGCCTCTGTCTGCTGCAGATTCTCTGATGAGGGGGCTTAGCAGGCTCACAGAGATCCACCTGCCTCTGCCTTCTGAGTGCTGGGATTAAAGGTACCACATCTGGCCCAGGTCATCTGAGGATCCTTGAAAGAGTTACAGCACTCACTGCAAGAGGGTCTCGTTTCTCTGTTACTAAAAGCATAGTTGTATCCTCTTTTGCATTTATTCATTAAATTCTGCAGTTTATGACAGTGGAACCTAGGCCCCACTCAAGTGCTCCACCACTGAGCTCCACTCCCCACCCCTTCTCAAATTCCTGTGAGTGCTTGCTGGTCTCTGCAGACCCGTTAGCACAGGGCTTCCTGAGATGTCTTTAAAAGTCGCATGCAGTATTTTCTCTTTGTTGTAGCTGAGAAAAACATTAAAATTTAAGAATCTGCCAAAATACCTACCCAAGTTCTAAGTTATCTCCAATGAAAGGCTGCAGCCTTGATGAATATGCATAAGTGTGAAGATAATGAGTAGGCATAAGAGAAGACAACAATGAATATGCATCAGTGAAGGTAATGAGTATGCATTAGGGTGCTGATAGTGATGAATGCATATGCATAAGAGTGAAGGTAATGACGAGTATGCGTACAAGAGGTTGAGTTCCATGTGCGGCAGTTAGTTGTTTCACATGTCATTTATTTGTTTACTTAAGTTTTGGGACAATGTTCCAAGTATCACTACATAGCCTAGAGTGACCTTGCTCCTGGCTCAACGTCCTAAGTGCTGGGAGGGGACACAGTCATGTACTACTGTGCTGTGAACCAGACTCAAGGCTCTCTGCATGTAGGCAAGCACTCTAACAACTCAACCTCATCCCAGGGATGTTAGGAGTAAGTTTTCCCACCAGCCTGGACCCTCGGCTACTCAGTCGGTAGATAATGAGACTCTTAATCTCAGGGTCGTGGGTTTGTACCCCACGTTGGTCGCCATTTTGTTAAGAGTAGGTTTTCCTACCAGCCTGGTCCCTCAGCTGCGCCAGCCCCAAATACCACACAGAGACGCTGTATTAGACATAATGCCGTTGGCCTGTTACTAATTAATAATGTTACTTATTGGCTAGCTCTGTCTTATATTAATAGAAATAGGTTAATATTTCCATGTGGTCTTATCTTACCAGAAAGAGGAGAGAGGGCCCAGCATTCTGCTCTCTCGGTCCTACATGCTAACTCTCCTTCCTACTTCTTCCTCTCTCCTCTTGTCTCCTAGTCCTGCCTATCTTGCTTTCCTATTGGCAAATAGTGCTTTATTCATTAACCAATACGAGAAACATATTTACAGGGCCCCCAGATCTTTCCTTCAGCTCAGAGCACACACACAGGATTGTTGCAGGAGATTCTTGTCCTGCCAGGTCCTGCTGCCCTTCTCAGCCCCAAATAAACACATAGATGCTATATTAATTATGAAACTGTTGGCTGATGGCTAGGGCTTCTTATTGGCTAGCTCTGTTTTATTAATCCATTTCTAGCCATCTATGTCTTGCCGGGAGGCTGAGGCTTATCCGGTAATGCCGGTTACTCCTTCGGCAGCATGGTGACTCTGTGGTAAGCTCCCTCTGCCTACCTTTCCCAGAATTCTCCTTGTCTCCTAGTCCTGCCTCTCTTCCTGCCTCATTGGGCAGACAGTGTTTTATTCATCAACCAATAAGAGAAACATGTATACAGAAGGACATCCCCCATCACAGGATTGCTTCTGGGCCTGGAAGTGATCCTTGACCATGATGTACAGAGAGGTGAAAAGCTTTTTTTTTTTTTTTTTCAACAATACACAGAGTCAGGCTAGCAGAATCACCAGTTATGATCTGGCTGTGGACTGAGACTTGCAGAATCAAAAATGGAAACAATGTCTCATTGTGTAGAGGGACACATTGTTTCCTATGAAAAAGCTACTCCAGGCTTTGTGACATCAGACAAGTAGAAAGTGGGGAGTGTGCCTACCCTGACTAAGCAGATGAAAGGTTAGCTTCAGACACCAAACTGAAAGTAAGGTCTACACTTTTAGAAGACTTTTGGCTAACAGAAAATAAAATGAGGCTTGGGGAAATGGCTTCATGGGGGAAACGGCTTTGCCATGCAAGGAACAGGGCCTAGTTTGGATTCCAGAGCCCACATCAAACCAGATGTGTAGCAGGCCTTTTCTTTAGGGCCACCAACCAGCTGCCAAGGCATGACACACAGACTTAATAGTTTTGAATGTTCAGCCTTAGCTTAGGCTCGTTTCTTGCTAGTTCTTATGACTTAGCCTGTTTCTCTTTATCTACATTTTACTTCAGGGATGTTTACCCTTCTTTCCTTCCTTCTGAATACCTTACTTTCCTGCTGTCTCCATGGCTGGCTGGTGACTGCCTAGCTTCAGACCCTGGGGCATGTCCCTCTTTTTCTCCCTTGTTCTCTTCACTTCTCTTCTGTCTTTTTCTCTCCTCCTATGTATTCCCTCTGCCTGACAACTCCACCTACCCCTCTCCTGCATAGCCATTGACCATTTGACATTTTACTAGACCAATCAGGTATCTTAGGCAGGCAATGCAAAAAAAAAAAAAATACCTCTTTACATAGTCAAACAAATGCAACAATCTTTACTTTGCTAAACAAATGCAGCATAAATAAATGTAACACATTGTTATGAGTTTTCCCTCAGCCTGGTCCCATAGCCTTGCCAGCCCCAAGTAACATGCAAAGACTCTGTATTAGATATAAAGCTGCTGGCCAGATACTAATGTTTCTTATTGGCTAGCTCTGTCCTAAATATTAATTATTTAATATTAATATTATCAATCTAAGTATTTCCATGTGATCTTATCTTACAGGAGAGGGCCCTGACCTCTGCTCTCTTGGTCTTACATGCTGACTCTCCTCCTACCTCTTCCTGAAACCTCCTTGTCTCCTAGTCCCACCTATCTTGCTTTTCAATTGGCCAACAGGACTTTATTCATTAACATCTTCCATCATCTCTTCTTTTCTGTCTAAAATAAAAAGGGTTTTAACTTTAACATGTCGGTAGAGCATTAGACTCTCAATCTCAGGGTGGTGGGCCCCACATTGGGCGCCATTTTGTTATGAGTAGTTTTACCTCTGCCTGGTCCCATAGCCTTGCCATCCCCAAACAACACACAGAGACGCTGTATTAGATATAAAGCTGTTAGGCTGTTACTAGCATTTCTTATTGGCTAGCTCTGTCTTAAATATTAACTGATTTCTATCAAACTAAGTATTTCCACATGGTCTTCTCTTACTGGAGAGACGATCGGGACCTCTGTTCTCTTAGTCTACAGTTTGAATCTCCTCTCTTCCCAAATCCTCCTTGTCTCCTAGTCCCGCCTATCTTACTTTCCTATTGACCAACAGGGCTTTATTCATCAACCAATATGAGAAACATATTTACAGAATGACATCTCCCGTCAACACATCTTTGCCTAAAGTCATATCCCACAACATAAACAAATGTAATACATTTTTACGTAAAGTACTATTCCACAACAATTGGTACTGCATATCTGTAATCACAGTACTCCCGGAACTAGCTGGGAGCTATAGACATGAGAACCCTTCAAGCTCCAGGACCCAATAGCTTGGCACAGGAGAAGCTAACAGCAAAGAGATCCTGTCACCAACACTACAGAAGGCAAGGGCACTTGAGACTGATCTTGGCCTCCACATGTATGCTGTGACATTTACACACATGAAGGTGCACATACAAACACACACACACACACACACCACATACCAACACAGACAAACATTGAAAAGA